GACCGGGTTCGGAACGGTATCCCGACATGCTATGGCAGGATGTTTGTGTCGTAGATCGGTTGGTGCCCTTTGTACTCCGCCTTCAGCACTGCTGCTCGGCCATGCTATCCATCTTACTTGTGCATGCGAACTGGGGGCAGTTTCATCTCCAGCAGTGGAACTTGACAACGTTCGAACCACGCAGGTTGGATCGAAACCGCGTAGTTGGATCGCTGCCTTCAGGCTTGGGCCAGCCTTGTGAGGGCATTCTTCATCAACAGCCGGGGCTGGTTCCTTTCAAGACCGGGAATGGTTGGACCCCAGACTTCTACGGCAGCGCTGCAGGCTGGGCATGGTCTTGGCTGATGGATGGCCGGTCTCGACAAAGAACTTCAATTAAAAGAACGAGAGCCACTTGGGAACTTCTCGTCCACCCCATTTCTTGGAGAGAGGTTCAATTTGTGATCAAACCTGAGACACACACATGGTAGGTGGTCAGTGCTTTGGAAATTCTGCGGATTGTGCAAAAGGTCGCGGAAGGCCTCAGCAGAATCTGGGCCAGCAGCACCGTAAAGCTCAACCATCAAACCCACGCAACGCAATCAATCAGATCAGCAACGGTGGAAGACATGTTTTGTTGCTGGCTACAACAATGTCAACAATTTGTGCTTCAAATTCATTTGTATTGTACATGCACGCGAACGCGCACACACACACACAGACCTTCACACGCCTAGACAAAGCTCAATCGGTTTCAGAAAGCCAACGCGGGTTCCAGCTTTCAGCCCAACTGAACGCGTGAAATGTTTTTGCCAAGGAATATTGGTCTTACCTTCTCTTGGACGCAGTCTTTGATCAGTATTTGGATGAAGCAGAACTACGGCTATTGCGCTCCGAACGCGGTGCGCGCTGGCATCGTATATCCTGGCCAGAGCAGGGCAGATGCTGCAGAAGCCACCAGAAGCTTGATCCAAGGAAGAGGTATAAGCTAGCAGCTCCCCTTTACAGTGGCGCGGGGGAGCTTCCTTCAACAAACCGCTCGCACTATGATTTGGCTCCTAGATTTTTTGGGCCGAACTCAGGGGTAAAGCAGCAGGGATCCCTAATTCACCGTGGCCCTGCAAACCCAAACGACAACATCTACAGCAGCTGGGGTGCTTTGTGATGAACAGACGGAGCGCGAGGCCCTGTGTTGGATATACAAAAACTGCCAGAAGCTCCATTCTCGATCTACAGTTTCTTGTTTACCAGAGTGGGTTGTCTCCTCCTCCGTCCACCTAGCAGCTTATCCTTCCAGATGGCCACTCAGATGGCCTATTGGCCTATTGAACAACATATCTCACTCCCGCGCCACAGCGCATTAGCACGCGCAAATTAGATAGCAACGGTGTACTTCTTGCGGGGATTCACTATACATGTTACATGGGACAGAATGTGTTTGGCCAACGTTGCATTCAACAATATTCAACACATGGTTACCACCCGATTTCTGCTGGAAGCATCCAAGGAAACCAGGGCGGTTGGTACAACAGCATGGCAGCTTGGAAGAAAGCATTGACTGTCCCAGCAGTCGCTGCCAGTTTACGGCCGCAGTTCTTACGAGTCTTATCAGGCATAGGCATAGTGATTAGCCTTCAATCAGGTTCATCACGGTCTATCAGGTACTGCGTGCCGCGTGCCGTTCTTCTAACTCTAGCTTTGAAGGTTGCAGATACGAGATTACCACGGCGTTCCGATGATCCGTCAGGTCTGGGAATGCAAGAATTTGCTGGACATTGGTGAGGATTCCAGCTGCCAGCTGGTGATGAACCCTGAGGTGTGCCCCTTGGGAGCTCAAAATAACAAGACCTGCAAGCTGAAGTGGGACGCTCATCTGCATCAGATATCAGAATACTCTGGTGCCCTTTGCGTTTTGTTGGTTCTTACCGTTGGGGGTTGATGGCAACACAGTACAACTAGGTCTACTGACTACTGTATGGATAATATATATAGCACTATACTGTATAACCTTTGCTTGGGCTGCGCTCAGCCACATCAGGCGATGGAACCTGCCTTCGAGCTGCAGCAGGATATCTTCCAGGACAAGATCATCAAGTACCGCTCTGAGGCCTTTGAGAAGGGCATCCTGGGATACAACGCCCAACAAGAATATGTGGTTCCCAAGCTCCTGGAAGAGTTTGCGGCCGCTCGACCGATCTGAGGTGACATGAGACACCACGTTGGGCATGGAAGGGGGTCGTTATAGCGATGGCCTCCAACCTAGTAATAGCAATGGCCTCCAACCTCATAGCGATGGCCTCCAAGGGCATGGAAGGGGTTCGTAAACTTCGCCTAGGCAGTAGGAAACAGTTGTCCGGGCATCAACCAGCTTCTCCCTCCTGGCGGCGTGGTTCTTCGACGATTTGTTGCCGATGAGCAATTTCCAAAGACCAATAGAATTCATGGTCAAAAAAATAAAGCCAATCTTTATATTCGGGGAAGATGAATGGGTACACTCCAGGCTGCTAATATGTACTAACAAGGCATTGGAAACCGCTTCCATTGCATCGGAGATCGTTTTGATTCTGGGGATTCATGTTCCTTTGCCTCGTCAGTATGCCGAAGGGGATATGTGTTGAAGGCTTGTGGGTGCTTAGAGTAGTGTTCTTCGAATACCGATGAGAGGTGTGTTTGATCAATCTCCTAGCTATTCCTGGCTGTTTCTTAGCATGCTTCAGTAGTTCCCGGATGTTTCTGTAGCAATTCCAAGTAGCCACATGACCGGGGAATTTGTCGGGGCCCTCAAGATGAATCACCCCCGAAAAGACAAGAGAGGCTCCAGAGCACAAGATCCTTTTGGACTATGTCAACTTCTTGCTGGACTTGTCCAAACAAACCTACATCTCATTCTTGCAGCTCAACGAGATCGGCGGCCCTCCTTATCCTTCCTTCCGCGAGGAGGATCCTAAGAGTGGCAGTTTTTAAGTCGAAGTTGAGAGAGATGCTGCACGTTGATTTGGAATGTTTCAACCACATCGCCGTCTTTGATAAACGTGTTGTTCTGAATGTGTCTTTTCTTGTCCAAGTAAGATGCGCCAAAGCAGTGGTCCATATAGTCTGTGCGAACATAAACCTCATATCGTGTGGACCCAGGAATTGAAGAAGGTTTGCAAGGCGAAGATCAACATGCTCATCATCGATGCCACCGTTTTGCAAATCGCCTTCTCCAATCCTGAGATCATCTACCAGCTCCGCGTGCAAGGCCTCTTACTGTAGCATCGACAGCTTGTGCATGGATGACACTCTTCATAATCATTCGTAATCTTGGAGTAGTGTAGAATGTAGCCACACATGCATCGCATGCAATCACCCAAGAGCACAGTGTATTGCAACTACTACATATAAAGAGGAACATCCCGCTCGTTTTGTTTGGAACAGTTGGCGTTGTAAGACAGACCCATACAGCAGCAATAGACAGGCAGAGATTACGCAGGTACGATCAAAGTGCACTTAGCCGGCAGGATGTTTCAGTTCAAGCAGCTGGCTTTGCCACAGGGATTTATGTATTAATATATGTTGTCAATGATTTGAACTTGAACAGTCCAGTGTTGCGCTTGATGGAGTGCTTATGATAAAACACGCCTCATCTCGACCAACAGAGGCCTTCCTGCCTTTGGCAACTATGGCCTGCCAGCCAAGAGTTACGGATGCAACATGGCAGTGCCACCAGGTGTGTTTCTCCTGGCGCTAAGACCAATCTGCAAAACTACAGTGCCGGAGGGTCAGGACTTAACTGACCAACATCCTACTTTAGATTGACTATTTTGTTAGATCTTCACCCGGGACGGGGACTCGCGGGAAGACGGGCCGAAGACGGGTGGAACTCGGAACGCCCTCCTTCTTTGATCGGCTCGAAGTGTTCGAGGCAACCACGCTGTGTATTTGGAGAGCTGTGATGAACAAGCGAACAAGTACAGGATTTGGACCTGGGGAACCACCGTCGAGCTGACGAAGGAAATCTTGCTGGGGTATCCCACGACGCAGCGATTCCCTGATGCCCCTGGTAGTCCCTTGGATTCGCAGTGGTTTAGTTGGTGCGATTCGGTATGTGAGTGAGGACAGAGTCCTTAATGAACGTATACAGTATGCATATATGATCATATATGTATAGATGGTATGTCTTTATTCTGTATGATTCTGTAAATATATATATATATAGGTGTGTGTGTATTATTTATACATATAGATTACAGGGATTGTGTGCAGGCGGACTTGCAGCATGCAGCCTGTTTTGGTTCCCACAACACGTTTGCAGACTGCCTGGAGGTCACGTGCCTGCTTGGAACACCGGAGCTCTTTGTGCGGCAGTCGTCGCGGACAAGATCACCCTTAATTGAGCAGTTCCCGGGTGGGAGCGTTGGATCTGAATCTTTGGCAGCTCCGACGGTGAAATTCGAGTGAGCACGGGATTGTCAGGGTTTTTCAACATGTTTCTCAATGCGTTCTCCTCGCTCTTCGCAGATTTTGCATGTGACTCCTTCCTCTTTTCACGGGGAGAGTCACGGGCCGGAGTGCCCATGAAAGCAGCGCGATGCACACCACGGCTCGCAGCAATGAATTTGAGTGATGATTGTCGTTGTTGCAGGGGAACGATAAACTGTTCCCATTTGTTGCCTTCAACCCCTTGTACTTCTTCAGCCTCGTGTACCTTGAGGTGGACAAAGGCATGCGAATCGGTCCATTGCAAGCAGCGAACTCTTGAACTATTTCTGTGTTTTGGGACTCCCATGACCTTGCAGTTTGATGTATTGGGTCCCTTCTCTCGAACCGTCAATAATCTATATAGTCCCACCTTTTCATATGGTATAGGATGGGCGCTTTGCTCACCATTCATAGTAATACATGTAATTACTATACAATATGTTTATGTAAGAACAGTAGCATAACTTTTCGCGTGCCAGTACATAACTTTACTAATACTGGTATGTTGGCCGTAGGGCATACAATGAGACTAACATGGGTAGACTGCCGCAGAGCGCCAGGTTGAGGTTCAAAAACCCAGGACCACAGTGAAGACAGAGGCCCGGATCGGTGTGAAGAACGGAATCCCCACGATGCAAAGAGTACAAACCCGTACTGTAAATATCAAGCGTTTAAATATCAACAGGTGTAAGCCGTTTGTTACATTGTGATTTGGCCACGCCGGTGTCCAATGCTGTTTTCCAAAACCATGGAATAGGATAAGGTGGTCATCGCGTGCTATGTCCTGTCCATGGTACCAATCAATAAACATTTTCCAACATGTTCGATCTGACTGGTGGAAGAGCTTCCGTGAAGATAGGGAGAGGGAGGGTGAGAGAGTGAGCACCAGTCAAGTCACCGACTTTTGTTTCTCCCCTGCAGGATCCAATGGAGCCAGATTCAGGCCAAGAGAGAGTGGGTTGATGGGCGTTGGTGTTCGCAGCGAAGGATGGTTTCAACTCGGCAAGCGACACCAAATGAGGGTTGGTTTACATGTGCTTGGCAACTCCATCTTTACGCGGGTTTTCGTGGATTCAGCCCTGTTCGGCACCACCACCCACATGAAGGTTGACAGTTGATTGATGGGGACCTGCCATATGGGGATGTTTGATGTTTAACCATCCAGGTAGGTGTTCTTAGGATGCACCGGTCACGTTCCATGGAGATGCATGAGAGCCACCTGCTTCGCTAGGGCCGAGTGGAACGCAGCCGGTGGAGAGTCCCGGGTCGGCAGTCAGCCGCCCGATCTCAACGGTATGTCAGGCCCAGCAGACGCGTTTCGGTGCAGACGTGGCGGAGGTGAAACCATGTGCATTTGGGACACCAACATTTAAAAAATTGCATGGGTGTCGCATTGGACACCTACCTGTTTTTGAAAATACTGGATTGTAGTGTGGAAACCATGCCATTTCAATTTGAAGATGTGTTTGGACGGCTTTTTGTTTGGGGCTAGAACACTGCACGTGCACGTGTAGTTGCAGCCCGTTCAGCACAGTCCTGCACAGTTGAGGAGTGGTGAGGCAGGCCATGAATTTCCATCCATCATGCCCCAAGTTGTCGCGGAAGCCAGGTTCTATCAAGAAGTTTAGCTTCCTGTAAATTGCGTTGGGGATGTCCAATGACAAGATATCCTGTTAAGGTACCTGATCACTGATGTATTGTTTACTTCAACGTCTTCGGAGATGCATTCTCAGCCTTCTCAGCTAAGACATGTTGCAAGTAGAGCCATGTTCCTAATTCAGATGGTGATGACTCCATGTGCCCGATGTGCGGCGGGTGTTCCGTGCTGTTTTTCGCCAGGGTGCTGCACAACTTGTGCGTTCATCAGGATCTCCATGGATCTCCCAACTGTCATCACGTGAATTCTTCAGACTGGAGTGAGCGTTGGACATCGGACTCCGTTGTATTTGTGCCACCATGAAACCCCATACAAGCGGCAATGGGACTATAATAGAAGGACTTTTTGGCTCAGTTGTTGCATTCATGAGCGGTATGGTGTACAAGTATGACAATGACCTTGTTCGTTGTCAAACATGTGGTCTATGAAGGTCAACTCATCACGTAATTTAAGCCTCTCCCCGTTGTGATGTTCTCCGGGGCGACTGCCAAAAGCCTGTGACCAACAGACCACTTTTGGCTGTGGTTGGCCCCCGGCATCGCTCGGCAGGTTTCGCAGCCGCAGCAAGTGCTGAGACAGGTGAAACTTTTGCCACTTGGAAGCAGCAAGTCCAAGAACTTTCCGTCAACCCGTGAGACACCGGTAGCTGTGGAACAAAGGACTGCTGAAAAACCAGGGTGGAGGTGCTAGGCAAAAGTAGCTTAGGGGTCCTCCGGCTTACCAACCGTTAGCCATATATATATATGCATATATATATATATGCATATACTTGGTGAGGTAACGTATGCAAGCACAGCCCCATGTGTAGTGGACCCATGTTACTCACAGTGAGGTGTGCCATGGTGTGCATTGACATCCAAATCCATGCATCACGGACGTTTGTTGACCTTTTGCCCAGGCTGACCCCTGTGGGAAAAGAACCAATATCACCGAGCGCCTTAAGAAAGTTGCTACGGAGCCCGGAGTAGCTTGTCGAAGACCAAGGGTGGGAAGCTCGTGATGTCGGGGTGGGTGGTGTTCGGATGCGTTCGGTAAATATGCATGTTGAAAAACAGATTCGTCAGAGACTGTGTTGGACGCAGGTTCTGCTTGTTCGGGGACCATTGGTGTATCTAGTCCTCTAGTAGTGCTAGTTTTGCATGGTGAGAACAGATGCAGCTAGTCCTTGCGTATGTTTGCCAGTGCTCGATTTGTGTTCGTGCTTTATTAGGTTTGCTAGGGTCATCCCAGGTTGCTGGGAGTGAGCCGCCAATGCTTTTGATATCTTTTGATGCTGGCCTTTTCAATGCAAGCATGGGCCACGGGGAGCTTAGCAGCCAAGGCACAGCAGTACAATTCCCTGCACTGCTGTAGCGGCACTCCACTAGTAATCCGCACAGATGGAGCTCATGGCTCATGGCATACCATGACACACCAGTTTTATCTAGTTTTGTCATTTGTCAGAAAGCGAAATCACCACTAGCTTCACTAGCCACGGTCCTGTGCCCAAATACACCAGGTGATGCACGCATGAGTGGTAAGACGCAAGCGTGGTTGAGTTTTCTGTTTATGTCTATATATCCCCGCACCCTAGGGTTTCAATACCATTCACTACCTACTACATGTTTATCGTTGTACAATTATATCGTTTGCTTGTACAGTAGCATAGTTCTTCCGGTGCTCGGCCGAACTCATGCCAGGCCGATTGGCCTGGGGTGGAATATTGTGACAGTTTGTGTCAGTTGAGTAGTTGTATAATATTATTCATCATTATTCATCAATGTTTGGGACAAAAACATCTTAGACTCACCTGGCTGGACTACCCGGCACTCGTTATTGTTCTCTTTTGGACATGGCTTGATCCCGTAACTTGTCTCAATGTTTGATTTTGATGCCCTGCCAAGGCCTTGGTACCAGGCAGTGGTTAAGCACAGCACTCAGCCACTCAGCGATAGGGTAGCAGAATTGGCGCAATCTCGCCCCCCTCCTGTGGGACTCCGAGATAGAACAGATCCACGAGTAGAGCTGATCCAAGCGGGTGTTGCTGGACAGTTCGCAGCGCTCGTGGATGGAGTTTTGCTCGCGGATTGAATGCTTTTTGCCTCCGTGGGTGAATTGGGCATGGTGAGAATTTGGCTAGGAATGCCAGGCACCCTTGGGAAACAGTTGCACTCACCCACTGGCCGGTATTCTGCATGAGAATGCTCGCCATGAGGTTGACACACTCACCGCAAGTTTTGCCAGGCTGCGATGCGCAAGTTGCATTGGGAGGGTTGCAGCCACTTTTGTTGCTTGAAAGACTTAGCACAAAGATAAAGTGGTGGGCGATTGAGCCTTTTTCAATGGAAGGAGAAACTATATGAAAAGGGACACCTCCACTTGGTGCATCAGGTGATGCTACTGATTTGCAACTCTTTGCGGCTGCATTGCTTCTTCTCAAGGCTGGGTGCAGTAGCATGCAGAACCCAGCATCGTGATACAACCAGTCCGGACAGTGCTGTGAACTGTGAGGCACCTGGGCTCTAGTAGATCTACCGTAGTAGGTCCAACAAGTGTAAGAACAAACAGCTTTGTTTAATTCTTGGTGTAGCTTTGATTGCACTCATTGCAGGATTTCCTCAAGCACCCGGACCAGCCAAGTTAGTTTCATGGTGGGCCGTTTGTTATCCAAATCCCGACTGCGTCATATATGTATGTGACCGTGATGGTGAACTTCTTGGCTTGTATCAGATCAAGGGTTGTCCTGAGCAGTCAGCTGTACTAACAGTTGCTATAGTCTTGGTGGCCCAGAGAAGCAACCATTGCGAAAATCATGGCCAGCTGCCCTGAGACGGAGCTTATTTGCCCACGTTATACCATCGTTACAAGGCATAGGTTCCGTCGTTCCAAGCCGGCCAACTTGGTTCACAGGTTCACAAGTTCACTAAGTATTTTCACAATATGTCCACATCCTTCAAACTGATTTCGATGATTTTCAGCTGCTCGTCTCCTTTTCATTGCACCCGCAGCCACCTGTGCCCAAATGACAGAGCTGAGCGACTCAAGAAGGGTGCTGCCACAAATGTCGGGTTGGCAGCCCTTGCCGTTGCAGTCCCTGGAGGCCATTCCACAACTGGATTAGCACATCTGTAGCTGATGCAGGTTCAATTTGATGGAATGTCCTGGCGTACCATGGCCCATCTCGCCTTGATCCGCTCTCGCCGTTTAACGCTTGATCACCTACTTCTCGCCAATAGAACTCTAATAAAGCCTGCTCCGAGCCAGGAAGTTGAAGTCGATGAGATGCCTAGTCATGAGCGCTCCGGAATCGACAAAGTCGACCGTGTCGTGCTCTCAGCACCGTTGGGTTTTCGATTGGCACTGACAACCTTGGCGGAAAGGTTCGAGTTTGCACACCGATGCTTTGATACCGTGCGCGATGCAGAAGAACCCCTCCGCACGATCTCAGGCGATCAGAAAATGTAGAAGTTGCCCCTTGGCGATTTTGACGCGAGTTTTTGAATGTTTTTTATTAGAAGCCGCTCTTCTGCAAATTTGTGCACATGACCCCAGCGAGGCGAAACAAAGGGTGGTTCAGAAGAGCAGTAACCAAGCTATGGCCTATAACAAGCAGACCCTTCAAGCAGTCCAGGCTATGGTATCAGTATAGCCTCTCCCATGCAAATCATGGCAAGATCATACGAGATCACTAATTAACCTATGTTGGCATCCCGGATCCCCCTCCAAAAAAAGACTTGATCTCGGTCAGCCGAGGCTTTCAGACAGCTGTAGTCAGACCCTGTCAAACACGCAGGTTGCAACGCTTCTTTCAATCTTCTCTCTAACAGGTTTGCATGCCACGCAGCCGAGAGCCTCATGGTGGGATTGTTCACGCATGCTGCACTGCATGCCCTCATTGACATACACTATATATACTATGATGGATTGATAGTCATAGAATGTGATAGACATCGTGCTCTCATTTGATTTGTTCATGTGGCCGAATGACCTTGTAAATCTTGCAAGGCAAAGGGTTGGAATCGCATTGGCACGACTCAACCACCAAAGGCCCAGTAGACAGTCAAATGACCGGATGTTGAGTTGGCAAGCATCATTGTGGCCAAGTTCTGGATTCTTACCATCACTTTGTACACAAGCTGTTTTGAAGCTGCTTGCTAAGGCATGTTCTCTCTTGTTTTTCTTCTTTTGTTCCCGATCTTTGTTGGCCGCTTGTCAGCAGTGCTTCCCAGAAGCTTGGGCTGAGGCGGCTGCGCACAAGAGTCGAACTGCTAGGATGTGGGTTTGACTGGCTTGTCAGTCCGTGAAGGACACCCACGCGCACGGGCGTCCCGATTTATGAAAGCAATTCGTGGACGCAGGGTGTCCTGATATGTCACAACATTGAGGTTGCAAGTGCTGCAGTACTCAGTACCATGCTTTCATATGCTTTCGTACAATTTGCACCTTGTAGCTTGAGACTCTTGCCCTTTTGGCCGGGGGTGCCGTGCCACACCAAGGAGTGCTGGTCATGGTGGCCTATTTTGCCTTTAATCAAGATGATTTGGCTTTGACCACCAAGACCGGTTCCCAGAGCCGATCGCCGGTTCGGGTGGACCGAGTGGAGATGGGACTTGGACGGACCGTCGACCAGTTGTGAAAGACGTGTCCTGCGAACATATTTGGTGGTGATTTTTGGGGTGCACGGTATTTTCTGTCCTGAGCAAAACCTGGCTTTGCTTGGCTAACTTGGAGCTTTTGGTTGCTTCAACCTTGCAATGACCTTCGGAGCATTTGCGCGTGCCGTGCGCTGTAGATACCATATGCCACCCGGGCGGGAAAGTTCAGCTGATGTCCCAGGTTTAATGGGAGAAGAGGGTGAAAGGTTCGCCATGGGCAAGATTTCTGCACTTAAATGAGCCAGTGTCCCTATAGGTCATGGAAGTTTGTTCAAGACTGCTACCTGTCACCTTCAACTTGTTTGAAGACTGGATGCGAGCACGCGCAGGTCATTGTCCCTTTAGTTGAAACGCCTTCAGTTGGAGCATAACTGTGGCCATCCCAACCTTACATGTTTAAGTCAGTTTAAGTTTTGCTATCTCAACCTCAACCGAGCTTGAAGGCGTCTACCTGCTAATGTCATGGAGCCTCCATGTTCTTGGCTTAGCATCAAAACCGCCCAGCTCCACTGTGCCCTCCCATTGGAGGCCTTTACAGACACACAGATGACCAATGCCCATGACACTCAGGATCCTTGTGCTGGCAGACACTTTTTGGAAGACCAGTTTCTTCACCTTCATTGCCATTGGTACCTTGAATGTGTGATGCATCACGGTGTGGTCAATGAGCCAAGGGTCATTGGAAGCGAGAACCCCACATGGGAACACAAACCAAAACATACCCCTTGTTGGTTATCCGGCATCCGTTGTGCGAGGTTATGAACACTTCATGTCACTGTGTAGAAGGCTCAAAATCCTCCATCGACCTTTTTGTGTGGATCAGGTGATCAAGACACCAGACTATGAAACAAATTTATCTTGTTGCTGCAAGGGCTGCGCTGTGTGAAACATAAGACTTGGTGGATGTTTGATGAATTCTGCATCGTTTTGGCTGTGGGATGCTCCCCTCTATGCATATAGTTCTTCTATATATATATATATACACATCACGGGCTGTCCTCCTTTTGCTCTCCCCCGCAGCTTCAACCTGAAAAACGCATGCCTCAACACTGGATCAGCAGACACAAAGAGACCAACAACACCCTCTACAAGCCCACAAGAGTGCCCACAACGTGTTGCAACATCCTGATCTCAGTGCACCTGCTGACCTGCAAAAAAAGATATCCTGAGCTTGGCTGAAAGATTCAACATCACATATATAGGTGCAACCGCTTTTGGGTACCATTTGAAACCATTTTGTATCTAATAAACTTGCCTGTTCTCCACTTCTATCAGGCGGGCGTTTGTCAAGCTGGCCCCAGGTGTGGTGACGTTGGCCAGCGCGGCTGTCGGGTCGGATGAAAAGACCGACTGGGTGAGGAAGCTTGGCATGAAATATAGATAAAAATCAGGTGCGAACAGACCCTAAAGAGTATAACATTACGGTATAAATCAGTATAATATACTATTATATATTTATACATATATATATATAACATGTTGTATATTACATACCTCATATCATTACATCGTGGAACTATATATTATAGAACTACCAGTAGAACTACCCTTTTCTCTTGGGAGCTGATGGGAGCTGCGTGCTCGGGGGAGACACCGCCAACATCGACCCACTGCACCTGTGAAAACCGCAGAGCCGAGCCTAAGCCACTCGACAGCCGACCTACCCACTGTGGACAGACGTGCAATGCGGAGGGAAGAACAGTTGTGGTTTGAGTTGATCCACGTTTTGGTGTTGTGACTTTGCTTTCTCCGCAAAGTGGCCCAGACAAAGTCCCTTTCCGTCAATGCAAGCCAAAGCGGAGCTTCTGCCACTTCAGGCCAAAAATAAGGTGCATGTCGACCTGCTCTGGCACAAGCACGTTTGTCGACACACTGCCCCTTTTGCCCGAGCCTAGCTAGCCAGTCTTTTCACGAGGCTGTCAAGGCTGGTGCGTTGTGGACGCATTTACCATGTCAGTTTGACAAAGGTTGAGCTTTGAAGGAAGAGACAGTCGCTAGGAAATGATCCAAACTTGCAGGCAGGGCGTCCCCTCGCAAGACCTCAATTAGGCGGTATTTGGTCCTAAGAAGTGCGTGGGGGTTCTTACCCGTGTGCTTGTAGTCGCTGGTTGCTCTTTGATGGACGAAATCTTGCACAACTTAAGCCTGCCGTGGTATGACCGGGTCAACCAGTTACACGGCATCTCACACTGAGGAAGTTCTGGGCTCGCGAGAAGATCAGCCTTGTTTTCACTGAGGCAGGGCAAGCTTGGCTTATATTTTGGGTGAAGTTACCGTCATAATTCGGCAAGCATCCCAATGTTTTAAATAGATGAATGAGTTCCCACCATCCCTCCCATGAACTCACCATTTTGGTTTGTAAGTGGACCAACTCTCGTCAAGACTGGGCCTTGCACGGGCTTTTGTTCAGCTCATTCTAGGCGCGCATTTGCTGCAAGAAATCATTTGGCATTTGGAAGGGGAAGGAGTTCATTTGGGACCAATGCCAAGAGGAAGGAATAGGGTCCGAGAGGAACAAACGCATTTTGAGAGGGTCATCTAATCTTGTGCATGATGGGACTTACTGCACTTACAGGTGAGCTTGAACATCAAGAGCTGGCAAGCCACAGGACAAGCTGGGCAGCTGTGCTGTAACCAGATGACTACTGCACGGACGGTTATTTTTGGACGGTCGCTGCCAGCTACAATCATAAGTTATAGCTCAAGGAAGAAGTTGCTGAATTAGCTTCGGACCGGATATCTAGTTTGTTCTAGATCGGAACTGGTCAGAACCCATGGAACAACAG